GCTTATTTGAGATCAAGCTTTATGTGGATCGGACAAATAATCTGCATCGGCATAGCCAATCATTTCTGACTTGAATTCATTAGAATAAAGTAATCCCATATCTATAGTTCCCCGAAGATATGTAAATATATGCTTAACACCATTCCAATGTCTTCTTGTTGGGGAGGAGCTGAATCTTGCTAATAAGCTTACTGCAAAAGCGATACCTGGTCGGGTATTGTTGGCAAGATACATCATTACCCCAATTCACTAAGATATGGAGTTTCATCACCAACAAGCTCTTCATCATTTTCTTGAGGCCGAAATTAATCTTTATTTATGTCAAACGATCTCATAACCATTGAGGTACTCAATAGATGTGCATTATCCATGTAAAATCGCTTAAAACCTTTTCAATATATGTTGATTGGACACAAATTCCATTTGTTACATGCTCAATTTGTAGGCCAAGACAAAATTTTATCTTACCAAGATCTTTCATTTCAAATTCTTTCTTCAAACACTCTACAACATTTGGAAGCTCTTTAGACGTGCCAATGATATTCAAGTCATCAATATAAACAGCTATGATGACTAATTCATATCCAGACCTCTTAATAAAGATACAAGGGCATATAGGGTCTTTCTGTACCCTTCCTTTAGCAAAAACTCGCTAAGGCGATTGTACCACATCCTCCCTGATTGCTTCAATACGTATAAGGATTTCTGAAGCTTTATTGAACAAGTTTCCCTTAAACTTTTATGTGCTTCAGGAACTTTAAATCCTTCAGTAATTTTTATAAAAATTTCATTGTCCAATGAGCCATATAAGCAGGCTGTGACAACATACATCAACCGCATATCAAGTTTTTCATAGATTGCTAGATTTTAGATACCTGAAGGTAATTGCATTTACCACAGTAGAATTTGTCTCCATATAATCATGTCAGGCTTTTACGAAAACCCTTGTGCCACAAGTCGTGTTTTATATCTTACGACTTCACCTTTCTCATTTCGTTTTCGCACAAAAACCCATTTGTTCCCCCACTGGCTTGACACCTTCAGGCGTTCGGACTATTGGTCCAAAAACTTCACATTTTTCGAGTAAAGCCAATTCCGCTTGAATTGCATTTTTTCATTTTGGCCAGTCATTTCTCTGTTTACATTCATTGACAGATTTTGGCTCAAGATCCTCTTTTGTTGCATTACTTCAACTACAATATTATAAGCAAAACTGTTGTCAACAACAATATTATTTCGGTTCCACCTTTTTTCGTAGAGACATAACTTATTGAGATCTCTTCATTTTCATCATTTCCAGGTACTAGAACCTCCTTATGTCTTTATGCTTCTCTTGAGTAATTGTCTCCACGTTATGATCAACTTGATCATTTGCTCCTTTCCTTTTTTGAGGATTCTTATCCTTGGAACCGATTGGTCTACCACGTTTAAGGCGTGACCTAGACTCATTTGCATTATCATATTGTTCAACTGGGACATCAACTCGAATTGGTGCATTTACAGCTGGAATATGCGATTTAGTAACCTGTGGAAGGTTAGTAAATGCATCTGGCAATTGATTTATAATATTTTGCATATAAATGATATTTTGAACTTCTTGTTCACATTGATTTGTACTAAATGAGATAGAGATACATTCCAATCTATCTTTTTTTCCAGTTGTTTATTCTTTCTCCTAATGTATGAAAAACTGATTCATCAAAATGGCAATCAACAAATGTGGCTGTAAACAAATCTCCTGGCATAAGCTCCAAATATTTAATAATAAAAGAAAATTCATAACCAACATATACTCCCAACCTTCTTTGGGACCTTTCTTTGTGCATTATGGTGGAGCAATTGAAACATATACCGCACATCCAAAAATTCTTAGGTGGAAAATATTTGGCTCCTGATCAAAAGCCAACTGTAATGGGTAGGTTTCATGATAACTAGTTGGCCTTCTGCGCACAAGTGCTGCTGCATGCAAAATAACATGTCCCCACACTCAAAAGGGAAGTTTTGTCCTTATTAGCAATGGTCTATTTATTAATTGGAGGGGTTTAACCAACGATTCTGCTAGACTATTTTGAGTATGAACACGAGCAACCGGATGCTCAACTTTTATTTCATTGGCCATACATTAATTAGTAAAGGCCTAAGATGTAAATTCACTCGTATTATCAAGACGAATTGTCTTAATTGCATAATCTGGAAATTATGCTCTTAACCTTATTATTTGGGCCAACAATCTCGCAAATGCCATATTACGAGTTGACAATAAGCACGCATGTGACCATCCTGTAGATGCGTCTATCAAGACCATAAAATACTTGAATGGTCCATATGGAGGGTATATATGCCCACACATATCACCTTGTATACGTTCCAGAAATGCAGGGGATTCAATCCCAAATTTAGCTGCTGATGGTTTAATAACCAATTTTCTTTGAGAACAAACAACACAAGAGAATTCCTTAAATTGAAGAATCTTATTGTTCTTCAATATGTGCCCATGTAAATTCGCTATTATTGCGCATCATGTTAGAATCGGGATGGCCCAACCGGTCATGCCAAATGATAAAATCATTAGAAGTAGTAAACCTTTTGCTTACTATAGCATGTGATTCAACCACACTAATGTTTGTGCGGTACAACCCAGAAGAAAATGCGGGTAATTTTTCATGCACACATTTTCCCCTGCTTTTATTATAGTATATAAAGGTATTCAATCTTTCCTTTGTTAGAGGTCTCAACATGGTAGCCATTTTGACGAATAGCTTTGAAACTCAACGAGTTTCTTTGAGACTTAATACAATACAATACAATACATTATTAATAGTCAATATCGTTCCTCGAGGTAGTAATAAGGACACTCTTCCGGAGCCCTCAATTAATTTTGTACTACTAGATATTTTATTAACATAGGCCTTTTTCATAACCAAATAAGAGAAAAATTTCTTTTCTCTTACTATTGTGTAAGTTGTAGCACTATCCAAAAGGCATAAATCTTCATTACTCATCTTGGATCCAATTGAAGACTGGAGAATTTTATTTTCTTCATAAAAAAATAAACATACACCATGAGAAATACGGAAAAACTAATAACACCAACAACAACATAAGACAACTTAAGTACTTCTTGAAAATAAAAACAAATTTAGAAAGAGACACAAAAAAATACTGAAATTAAAAATAATAGCATAATTGCATTCCCCGATAAAATGATCAAACTTTAATTTTGATCCCCAAAGAAGTCTTCAACTTCCAAATGAGTAAGATCATCGAGGCCTTCAAAATCATCATCATTCAAAGCAAGATTTTCCTCGGCATTATCATTACTTTTGTTGAAGGCCCTGCCTCAAAATCACTTTTAAAGGTCAAGTGAGACTTCACTGGAGCATTAGTAGAAAATGCTCCAACATTATTTGCCTTTCTTTTGATGTATTTTTGATAAAGTCTAACAAAATGCTCAGGTGCACATTATTCAATTTTCCAGTGACCTTTCATGCCACAGTGGTGGCAATTACCGCTTTTGCCTCTTGAAGGATTGTTTTGAGAACCCATATTGTTCTTTTGTTTGCCATGACCACCACGGTGATGATTATTATATCGTCTTTTGCCATTCTCATTCCCACATACATTCATATGGCCATGATAATTATTCTGTCTTTTTCCAGACTCATCACGTCTCGCTACCATATTTGCTTCAAGAATCGGAGCTGAACCTGTAGGACAGGCTTCATGATTATTCATCAAAAGGGTATTATGTTGCCCACCCATTAGAAGGCACGAGTATAATTCAGAATACTTTTTAAAATCCCTTTCACGGTATTGCTGCTGTAACACCATATTTGAGGCATGAAAAGTCGTAAAAGTCTTTTCCAACAAATCTTCATCATTCATAACATCCCCACATAATTTTAATTGGGAAAGTTATTCGAAATACAACAGAGTTGTACTCATTTACGGTCTTAAAATCTTACAACCGTAAGTGCATCCATTCATTTCGAGCCCTTGGCAATACCATAGCCTTAAGGTGATCATACCTTTCCTTTAGGCCAATCCACAATTCAAGTGGATCTTCCATTGTCAAATATTCAACCTTCAAACCTTCATCCAAATGATGGCGAAGGAAAATGACTTCGCCTTGTCCTGGCTTGATGCCTCATTATCTTGAGTAATGTTGTCACCAAGACCTTTAGCGGTTAAGTGAATCTCAACATCGATAACCCATCATAAGTAATTCTTTCCAGAAATGTCAGGTGCCACAAACTCAAGTTTTGACGAACTCTACATAGTAAAAACTTGCAAGCGGAATTCAATCTTGAAGTTAGAGACTTCATGCTGATAACATGTTAAGAAATGTAGCTCAAAATAACAGTATAAAATAAGAAGATAAGTAATAGAATAAGAGAAGAAGAGATAACTTTCTTATTTCATCAAGTGTTCAAGTGTATCTCATATCACATTTCATGTTTCTATTTATACTATCACATAGAAGATTACAAAATGATTGTCTTAAACATGACATTAACAATTGAGATCACGAGGGAATATCATGGGAAGAGTTATGGAGGTGTGTGAGTAATAATAGTGATGAGTAATGGGAGGTTAACCTCATGAGTGAAAGTAGTAGGACTAGTGGATATCCACATTTACTAATAGTTACACCACCATACTTTTTTCCATAAAAACTCCCATTCACCCCGTGGCCAGTGGCCAAATTAAGTTTTTCGCTAGGGGAATTTAAAATATAAAAAAGTAAATACATCAAAAAATATTTTAAACCTTATATATACGATGTAATTTTTGGCGACGGGGCTTCGAATAAATTCTTGTTGCCACCCTAGCTCCGCCCATACATGTGCTTACAATCTCATGTGAAATCTATTTCACCGATCTATATCAAAATTATTGCATTCACTATAAAATTTATATCAAAATTAAATAGTATGTTATGAGGTTTTAGGTTTAAATCCTAACAATAATATTAACTTCTTCCTATCTCTAGATATCTAGTGGAATTAGTGAAGGTGCACATAAATTGACCTGAATAAAAAAAAAAATAGATGGAACCATAATCCTAATGCAGGATTCTTGTTTTTGTTTTCGGAAAGTATTTGTTGCCACTCAAAACAAGAAAAATTTAAAGTAAATGGCGACGAGGAGCAACTTCTACAAGAATCCTTCCTATGCTTACAACAAAGACTTCAATCTCAACTCTGCTCTTCGAAATCTTCAAGGTTTCATTTGTTACTCATTTTCTAGGGTTTTCTATTTTCTTCAGCTTAATTCGTTCCCCCCCCCCCCCCTCCCCTCTTTTCCAGCTTATAATGTTGTTACCGGTAACATTCCTCCTCCGGTCGAGCCAAATTCCGTCGAGGAGAAAACCGTCCACCGGAAACTTCGCCGGGAACGGAAATCTAAGGTGCACCAGAGCAATGAAGTCGAAGATAATGACGTCCCTCTGTCTCACTTGGATTATATTAGAAAAAGGTGGTGACTTTTTGAATTAAACTTGAAATTACTTGATACTCCCTCCGTTTCAATTTATGTGTTGTAGTTTAAGAAAAAAAAAGATGACTTTTGTGGTAAAAGCTTTGTGGGGTATAATATTTTTGTTTAACTATAAAAAGTTCTTGTAAAATGGGTAAATTAGAAAGTTTAAAGTTAAATTGTTACCGAATATAGAAATATATCTATCATTTTTGGACCGGACTAATAAGTAAAGTATGTCACACGGCCTGTGTCCCTTCACAATTTATGTAATTTAACAAGCCATATAGATTTGTGGGAACTTCTAGAATTAAATTGTTTCTAAATATAAAAGTTTTTGGGACAGACTAAAAAAGAAAGAGTATTACATAAATTCGGATAGAAGGAGTATATCAATCCTCAAAAAGGCACATTAATGTGGCTAGCTACTGGGGCCTTGGTACATTGCCTTTACAATCTAGTTCTGGCACACCGCACCTCATTGAAGTGAAAAGAAGAAGGTATTTGATAATTTTAGTGAAATTTGGAGTTGTGAGTTGCTCTTTGTTTTTGAAACGCAGGAAGGAGGCTAGTTCAAGTCAGCCTTATCAAGAATTGACTGCAGAAGTGTTGGTAATGGGATATTCATTTTACTGTGTTTTGCACTTATGTTTACTATCACATCAGTTATGATTTAGTGATTGTTTGGGTTCTAATGCTGTTCCAGGAACCTTCACATTCAGCATTGCATTTGGTGGAGTATGAGAGTAAGCTTCATTTGGCTTTTGTCTTTTTGGTTAATTCTCAATGACTTGAAAATGGTTTGAGTGTAGTTTGGTATGCAATTGATTAGTAGTCATGTGTTCATTTGGAACTCAAATCTCGACCGAAAAGGCAGGATGCTTGTTTTGAGATTTCCATATTTTTTAGTGTTTCCATCGTCTGTGTCATAAGGAATCATTGCTATTTGCAAAAGAGTAGTTTGATTTACATTGGATTTTTTATCTTGCATTTTTGATGGTTCCACTTACTGATGCTATGAGCAAGGACTAGTATACTGGATACTTTGGTGTCTAATTATTTACATATACCTGATAAACTGGACCTCCTTCATTTGTCACTGCAATTCCCTCGTTCAGTCCTTTTATTATAGTGTGCTACCATGCAGCAAAATATCAGTCATCCATAGGGAGTCCCCCCGCCCCCTTCCTCTCTCACTCCTTTTATATATGTTTATGAGTTCTACAACATTAATCATGTACTTGTCAAAACAAGAAAATACGTATCATGTTAGACTTTTTTAATCTTTTAACTTCCCATTTTCTCCTTTATCCTTTTTTACTTTAATGATTTAGGACCAAGAAGTTTTTCTGCCAAGACTTATCTCATGGAAAAATATTCATGAACTTTTCAGGTGATGCAAGCTCTTCTTCAGAATGTGAAAAGGGGTTCAATCCTTCTTCCAACACTGACATTTTAGCGGTTACAGGTTAGCAGAAGCGGAATTTCATTTAATCTAATTTATGTAACTAGATATGCTTTCTAGTTACTTATCCCTTTGAGTGGAAGTATTTTATAAGAGTTATAGTTACTTATCACTGAATAATTAGAGTTCTTACAGGTTGTCAAAGTTGTTTATGATATTATTGTTCATAGAAGTTTGAAGATCTTCTGATGTCTTAAAGTGGAAATTGTCTTGTAATTGGAATGGAGAAATGTGTATCTAGTCTTTCTTTCATTTCTTTTCCAAATCCATAATATTATTGGACTACAATAGAACCTTGCATCATAACACTTGTCCCTGGCTCTAGGTACCTCTACCTTGAAATAGTGGGATTCTGCTTCATTTGAAATGATACGAAAATCTAACCTAGTATTCTTTCTCGAAGAAAGATCATTAACCTTTTTATAAGGTAAATTTAACCTAGTCTTATAATCCGTACTGTATAGAAATCCCTTGACAGATGGTCAATAAGTTTTATCTTCGCTAATCTGAAATTTGCGAACAGTTTGTTTGTTGTGGCTTTCAAGAGCTTGCCATTCATTCTCTCTTTCACGATTTTCTCCATTCTTCTTTTTAGGTAGTGGAAATGAAACAGATAGAGTTAAAACTCGCAGCGAGCAGCGATTTCCTCTTCCAGGAGAACCTGCTTGTGTGGTATGTGGGAAGTATGGGGAGTATATATGTGATGAGGTAAGTTATTGGATCGATGGATCTATTTCTCTTTTTGTTTTTCTGCTCCTTTCTTAATGAACCCATATTATTTACTTTGCGTGCAGACTGATGAGGACATATGCAGTATGGGTTGCAAAATTGACCACCTGCAAAATCTTAAACTCCAGCAGGTGTTTTCCACTTTCATCCTGTTTTGCATAAGTAGTCTAGCATGGATGCATGTGAAAAGATTTCATGATTTCACTATTGCTTTTCAAAATTGGGACCTTTTGTTAATGATGAAGAAATTAATGATGAAAATATATGAGCTAGCAATTGTCAAAAGGAAAACAAGAGCTGATTTTTTTTGTGATAATTCCCTTGCTAGGCACATATTTTTATGTTTTCATAGATTTGTTGTTTCATTTTATTTAGATAGAGAAAATATTGGTGTAATACTACATATATTTAAGATAAGGAGCTCCCGACTGCAATCATTAAGAAGATTAGCATAATGTATGCTATTATTTTATAACTTGGTGATTACCTCCTTAGCATCGAGATTAACTTCCAAGGGAATCAAGCCATAGCTTTGTGCTAGGAGTAGGTGTTGTAGTAAAGCATGCAGCTCAGCTTGGACGCTAAGCTGAACATACAGTCTTATATTTGAATAGAATGTCTGGCTTATGTCTTGGAAGGGTGGATTATGGAATATGGCAAGGATAAACTAGCAAAGGGACGAACTATGTAATCAGGCAAAATACTTGTCACTAGGATCTTGTTGTCATCTCCAAAAATCATCAAATATGAATTCAATATCGGGGTCCGATATGTTGAACATTAGAGCTTCCAACTAAACTGGAGTTGTAACGTCTGTCACGAATCAAGATATGTAGTAAGCACCCAATGTGTAAATCATCTGAACAGTAGTCTTAACAAAAAAAAAAGCATTTGAGCAATATGTACTTTCATGCATGTATGAGATACCTGCTTCTTCAACTCCATATGTTTCTCTGATGATGTCTTTAGGGGCCCTTAACTAGCCAAGTCCAAGCTGAGTCTTTTTCTGGACAAAAGTGCAAACTGGAAGTTCCTGAATCTGGAGGTGACACCTGGGATTATGACCGTCATCGGTGGTCCATGAAGAGATCTGCTTTTTGTACTTATGAGTGGTATGCTTGCTGACATTCATTTTGAAGACGAGTAATCTCTCAATATTAGGTCTTGCCGTACCAAAGACTTTATCTGTTATACGTCGATAATCCTTCTCTGAGATCAAGCTCCACTTAGATTTACATTATGACATAATGTGCTGCATGTCGCAACCACCTTTATGATAAAAAATTAAATGTGCCCTTATTTTGTGTTCCTGATTGCTATGAGAGGGTATTTTTTCTAAGTATAATTTCACTGGTGTAGTTGGAAATGTCAGAGGCCAGGTCATCTTTCTGAAGATTGTTTGGTCACAGCATCAAAAAGTCGACGCCTTTCCTGTGGTCAAGCTGGTGAATCCAGCGATCAGGTATTACTTCCTTTCTGAAGATTTCAGAAAATAAGCCAGTAGCAAGTAGTAGTCATATATTTGTTATGCTAATCTTAATAATGCCTGACACAGGTGGAAGTGGCTCAAAGTAAATCCATTATACCCAAAGAGCTTCTGCCACTGTATAAAAGGTTTCTTAATTCCTTTTTAGTTTTGTTTTTAAAGTGTACTCTGATTTGTGTTTTCTGAGAAAGAAAAAAATTAATTGTACTTTTGTATATACTATATCTGTGCAAAATACAGAAGCCTCCGCCCTCCATCACAGAACAGAAGGAAGGAGGAAGGAGAGAGAATATTGACCATGTGTGCTTGTGCTTTACGAGTATTGACCATGTATGCTTGTGCTTTATATGTTTGGTGTGTCTTCATTTTCACTTTGTGTGTGAATGATGAGTATTCTCCACTCACTATTATTAAGAAATTGGACCTTGGGCTAATTCAACTTCAAAAGCTAGATCATGAGGCGAGGATTGCCTAAAGCCGTATAAGGAGACAGTAGCTCATTCACTTAACTTATGTGGGGCAATTAACAACTATGGTTTAACATAATCAGCATTGTTGACTACCCTATGTTGGATTAATCCCATTCGATCTTTTGGAATTCTCTGTTATCCTACATGATCTTTGAGTCATCGATGACAATGATGAAAAAAAAATGTAATATAAACTTTAAAGTATTGTCATGCTTTGGTATTATATTCACCATGAATCAAACTAAATATACATAGTTAAATGAATTAACGTCTGCTCAATTTTATTTTATTTATTTTTGGGAAAAAAATACCTTCCAGTACCTTCCTGGTCCTCAACTAAGTATTAGGCATTCAATCTATGTTCCAACTACTCAATATTTCTATTTCAACACATGAAGAGTGATACGTGAAAGCACAGATAATAAGGTATTCACTTTCTTGGTTTTAAAGATGTAATCATTTTTTTTTTCTTTTTCAATTTGGAAATTTGTATTGCGAAGGAATGAGAATACATGTGAAAAAATAAATAAACATTTAGATGGAATGTTTGCCTAATGCTTTTAGAAGGTGTGTTGCCAGGCTCTTGTCTGTCTGGCATCCTGCTAAACCCTTCCAGTAGATGCCTTTGCTGAATTTAATACTTGCCTCTATTGGTTCAGATTTCTGTCATCTTGCCATGGAAAGGATGATCAACTAGTCTATTATAGTTCTCATTGAATCTTGTTCAATATTTAAACTAAGTAGTTTACTTCTGATGACAAAGATTAATTGATAGCTGCATGGTAGTGGTAGTACTTGCTAAAGCTGAAGTCTTTGTTCCCGCTTGACATTTGAAAGCTAAAGTCAACTAGATAAACCAAGTTAACAAGTTAAACAGTCATACATTTGCATTTAAGATTAGATTCAGGTCCATCACTGAAATTGGTTTTCGGTCTCTTTTAATCTGCAGGTGCCAGCAAATTGGAAAAAGCGCATTGGACGCTAACTGTAATACCTGCCGCAGGTCAACTACTTTAGCCATGTGTCTTGATTGTAGTAATACCTTTTGTGACAGGTAATTTAGCGGCCATTGAAGAGATCTCAGCTTTATGTTATAATATTGCTTAATGAATGAGTATGTGTCACCTTCTTTTGACAGCATCAAATAGCTTTGTTCAGAAGGGAGTGATGACTTGTTAGGATGGCAAAATTAACGATAAGAAAAGTGTTAGAATGGCAAACTTTGGTGCCTTCTCCTAATATAGAAATTACCTCTCCCCCTCATTCGGTGCGGCTCCTAAAGTAGGTCTATACATGTTGCTTGAGCCTTGATTGGAGGATCTGCTTTTATTGGGGGATAATAGGGGAGATCCCCTACCTCCATGGTTGAACATAACCAATAAAGATTTGCAAATATTCAAATAAGGTGCTGGGAAACTGAAGAGATACCTTTTTGAACATCACAGTTCTTGGCCTTCTGAACCAGCGGAGCTTATGATTTTTCATTTTGTAGTGCAGAGGAATTGCTTAATCTTTATCTATGTTGATCTCAGTGCAGGTCACCTGAGAGAACATATCACTGGACATCCCTCTCACAGACAATATTACTCCTACAAGCTCAAGCGCTTGGTAAAAGCTTTACCTATCTTAGTTCCCATAAATTCAATTTGTCGTTAGTTATGTGTTTCATATTGTACTTAAGGATGTGTAGAATGTGACCGTTAAAAGACAGCGTAAGGCTTCTAATTTTCGTTATAGTACTATATTTTTGCAATTTAATCATTATTAAGACGCAAATGTGCCAAAACATAATATCGGCATATTAAATAAATACAAGCTACATTTTGTTTATGCTTAATTTTGGAGCATCAATATGAGAAAAGTTTACTTAATTTGACATACCATTGGAGTCCAAAGTCATATACGCTCGATAACTTCCCATGGAGTTCTATCGACGCTAGTTATACATTCACTTGTCTTTAACTTCAGGATGGCAGCCTGTATACAATGTCAATATAAGCTAAGATTTAGTAGAGCTCCCTGTTTCATTGCGTGCCAGTGTTTTGAATCACTGCTTCTGATATTAACTCCTCCCAAGTGAGGTTTGCAAAGTATAGCCGGTCTCAAGCCCTAAAGGAGAGTTGCTATGGGTTGACAGCCAATGTTAAAGTAGTCTAGTCATGTGTGCGATCCAATTATACTAGCGCTAATACCCCATCCCATTAACACTCCAAAGCTAAGCATTCCTGACGAGAGTGGAACTAGGATTGGTGATCCCCTATGAAGTCCTAGTGTTGCGTTCCTTGCCGACCTCAACTAGTTTGGTATTAAGGTATAGTTAATTATTGATACTGATTTTAATTTTATCACCATTTAGTTGTTCTTGATGTTCTTATATACAGCTTGAGTTTATCATGTTTGCCTGTACGTTCGGCATGCTTAATGACACAGTTATTTAACATAGGTAAAATGCTGCAAATCTACGTGCAAAGTGAGAGACATCAAGGATCTTTTAGCTTGTCACTATTGTTTTGATAAGGCTTTCGACAAGTTCTACGACACGTATTCTGCAACTTGGTATGTGGTGGTTTTACATCTAATGGTCCTGATATATTTTGTGAAAGCATGACTTGACTGGTCAACTCAGTGCTTGACTGTAGACCCGCTACCCGGTCCCTTCATCGTGTTGTTGTGCCGGACAGCGACTTGTACACATTAAAATGCCAGTTCATGTCACTGTCATGTGAAATTCTCAAGTGCAAGAATGTAGGCCCTTAGACAGGAAGTGATAATTGCTATTGGTGCCCCTCCCAGCAAAAACACCATCCCAACGTAAAAGACATTTTTACTCAACATAAAAGTTATAAAGACAACTTATTCTAACGTCCTGATAAAATGATTGATCAGCGTAATGTGCTTTGGTTCAAAAGGCATTCCCTCATATAGCATGTTATGACTAAAATTCTCTTGAATCCAATTCCTAAGCTATCCACTTCTCTGAACTTGTTCAGGGCCTGGTATAAGCATTTTAGAAAGGTAACAGATTTTTTGTATCATCAGCACAAAGGCTGTGCTGGAGCCATATTTACAAGGATTCTATAACACCCAACAGTGAATCTGAATCATCCAAGAATTCCTCTTTACACGAGAAATGAAACAAAAGAAGGCAATTCGTCTTAATCTTCTGGATTGATCTGCATTTGTCTTCAAAACATCTTGAATTTCTTTCCTGGTGTAAAGCGTTTTATTCCTCGTAAATGACCAGTTAATTATTTTGCTATATTCAGGAAAGCAGCTGGACTTTCAATTATCTGCAATTCCATTTGCTGTGAGGATCACTTTGAATGGTAAGTGGATAACTTTAATAAGTTCTTGCATGTTTTGTAATACCCAATCTCCATACTCAGACTACAAGAGCTACCTCCACAGGCACAGGATAAATTGCTTGAGTGCGGGTGTAGAAGACAGTGCCTACATTGTACAGAAACATCCTGCAAGTAAGAACTATGTATTGAGCAACTTCATCTTCTGAAGAGTTGATGCGAGATGATGTTTCCTTCGCGGAGCAGTATAAGTTGGTGCTGAAGTTGCTATGCCATTTTTCGCCGTCACAGTTTAATGTTTGTTGATGTTCGATAAACGAGTTAACTCTCTCACAATACCAAATTCAGACGCAAAAGAGCATTCTGGGTAAGCGCAGCTGGAAAAAGAAGTTGTCCTTATCAATTGCAAGGCAACATTTCTGAAATTTTGTTGTATGCTGAGGTGCCGGTGACCATTGAAGATATGAGTTCCTTGAATTGCCATCTCGTTCACTTCCGTGCTTCATATGTTATAAATTCACTATAGAATTAATTTATATATACAGACATTATAAAATGTTTTAACGCTGATAATGTATTTTAACCTTTTATGGTATGTAACATGCTTTATTTGTCAAATTGTTATCCTACGTTTTATGGATAGTTACATATAGTTAATTTTAGGTGTCACGAAAATATAAAAATTCTTTTACTCTCTTTATTGTAGAAGTTAAAAGCTCATTCACCATAAACTTTTTCCCACCGTGCCGACTTTGACAAGTATCGAGTCATGTAAATATAATGGCTTAGAGGATTTACCTACGGTGTGTCCCCAGTCCTAATATGTTACAAAAGTTTAATTAACGATTCAATCAAACAAATTAAATTTCTTAAAATAAATTTGAAAAGTAATTACTCATATTTATTTTTCGGGCCAGTACTGTAGAACGCCGACAAGGCCCATTATAAAAGTAGCTTGAACCAAAACCCGACCCGCTCTCCTGCTATCTTCAATTCCCCAAATTAGGGATATCAATTTCACCAATACTCATCTGCCAAAACTTATTGTTCCTTTCAGAGATCTAAACCAATCAATTTATGGGAGGTCATGGAGGTTTGAACATTCTCCCACAGAAGCGATGGAACGTATACAACTACGAAAATCGCGAGAAAGTAAAGCGAGACGAGGAAGCCGCAGCTAAAGAGGAACAGCTCAAGCAGGAACAATCTCGCAAGCGCGACTCAGAATATCGCCTCGAGCAGCTCCGTCAAGCGCGTGGCTTATCATCATCGTCGTCGAATCACGTCACAAAATCGTCGTCAGAACAGAAATCGCCGGAGAAGAAACCGGAAAAATCGAAATTGGCGGAGGAGAAACCGGGAAAATCGGATTCTAAGCACATCAATTTATTCGAAGGGATTCGAATCTTCGGTCCAGTTAAAAAAGTAGAAGAAGATGAGGAGAAAAACGGAAGGAATAATAATAAGAGGATTAAGAAAGAGCAAGCGCCTAGGGTTATTACTGCGGAGGATGAGAAGTATAGGTTAGGATATGGAATTGTTGGTAAAGGAACGAAATTGCCTTGGTATATGGAGAATAAAAAGAGAGACGAGGATGAAAAGAGTGACGAAGATAATGATAATGATTATTATAAATATTCGAGGCCTGTGAAGAAGAGTAGTAATGGAGGAAAAAAGACGGTGGAGGAATTGCGACAAGAGCGGTTAGAGAGGGAGAGGAAGGAGAAGGAAAGAGAAAAAGCTTTGTTAATGGAGAAGAGTCGAAGAGATGGAGGATTTTCGCAGTTAGAGAGGGAGAGGAAGGAGAAGGAAAGAGAAAGAGCTTTGTTAATGCGAAGAGATGGAGGATTTTCACGACGAAGATGAGGTGGGTATCAAAGGCTGATCCAGGATTTAAACTCAATTCGTTCGGCCTTTAAGGTTCTTAGCTCTAAACTCTAAGGGTTCAAAATTTAATATTTATTAAACTTTTAGTGGTTTTCACATGTATATTTATGTTCTATATAAAAAGTACTGGTTCAGTTGAAATCTTAGTGGCACATCAAAGTTGCTAATGAGTTGTTCGTTCTGCTTTGTAACGATCATTGCTTGTTTGTTTTACAATTCGTTGATGTTTTTCAATCTAATGAGCTACAAATTTCTGGTGAGACTGTGTTGTTTGTTTTCGAGTTTTTGGTTGTAGTTCAGGTTACATTTTAGTTATATATTTTAACATTTTCCTGAGTTTTATGCGTTTCAATTTTCCTCAAGCTTGTACACGAATTTTTCTGTTAGTAGAAGTTTTGGCACTTGGGTGGTGGTTTAGGTTCAGAATTAGGTTAGTTAGAACTGAGAAGTGATAAAGATAAAGTGATGTTATAAACGTCAATACCACACAAGAGGGGGGTGATTTGTGTGGTACCTAATTTTCGCGTTAGAAGAACCTGGTTCTTCTAAGTGTTCTAACTACAGCAGTTTGCGGAATAATAAATGCTGAAAGTAAAGTGCACAGAGATTTTTACGTGGAAAACACCTGGCTCAAAAGGTGAAAAAACCACGACCTACTACTCAGTAGGATTTTCCCAAACTCCACTAAAATCACTGAGCCAAAAACTGCATTTACAAAACTCTTTGTGAACCTAAGGATTAACTCTAATCCCAGTGTAGCACACAGCCTCAACTGTTGCGACACTTTCAAGTTAACTCTAACTTGAATACTCAATATACCTATTACAATTGCTTCTATCAAAGCTGAAAGGTACAATATGAAAACCTACTACAATTGAACTAGACTTAGAATAAACACAATGATGAAACTGGTTCTTCTATCTTAGTTTATGTAGCTTCAGACGTGCACACTTGTATCTCGCATATGTTCCTTGCAAATCAGACTTGATCCTTTTGCTCTCAAATATGCTTAACTTCTGCTTATGTGCAATCGCCTGTAAAAGAGAACAATCGTTATATTTATAGAGTTAGTAATCAGAGTTTGATAAGAACTCGAATTGTGGATCCTTTGACAATTCGAGTCCAAGAACAACTCTAACTCCTAATCCATATCCTTGATCCGGATATAATTCTCTTTTCATAAGGAGACTTCAACTCCTTATCCTGTATGCAATTTTTTTTCGATCAATTCAGAAGATATTGTTGCTGATCCTCCTTGACACTTATCTTCTTCCCGCGTATGTCACATGTGTAAGCATATCAACA